GGAATGAGGCAGGAGACATACCTAGTCTAGTGCCTGGCACATGGCAGGTCCTCAGCAAACTCCTCCAGGCTCATTGCAGTAGTGCTTGGCAGAGAACTTTGTCCAGTGTACAAGCTAGTCTTTCTGAAGTACTACAACTATTGGAATAAAGTCCAGCAACTTGCCAGGGGTGGCTCTGCCACCTAATATCCAAGCCATCAGTGCCTTCTGTAACGCAGGATCTAAGTAGAGCATTTCCCAGTTTCCCCTGCAGTAAAATGTGATCATGTGACTAAGTTCTCTCTGGTGGAATGTAAGTCAAAAAACTGTCCAGCCCAGCCAGGAGGGGCTTAAGAAAGCTGCCCTGTCTGTACAGACTGTGCTAGGTCTGCAATGGGTCTGTTTGTTTGTTGTTTGCTACACTGGGGACTAAACCCTGGCCTTGAGCATGCTAGGCCAGTGTTCTACTAACTGAGCTATACCCAAGCCCATAACAGGTTAGAGAGAAAAGCTTTGCCTTTTCTCACCAGAAGACTGAGATTCTATTTTCTACACTCTTAGTAGGCATATAAATTTTTCTCTCTTTGAACAGAAATTTGGCCATATCAATGGGAATTTAAAATGAGTATTTCACTACTAAGATATATAACCTATGGCTGAAGTGTCGCTCAGTGGTAGAGTGATTGCCCAGCATTTATGAGAACCTGAGTTTTATCCCCAGCATTGAAGAAAAAAATTAAATTCAAAAAAACAGACTATTGGGCTGGAGAGATGACTGAGTGGTTAAGAGTACTGGCTGCTCTTCCCAGAGGATGAAGATTCTATCCCTAGCACCCACAGGGCAGTTAACAACATCCATTAATTCTAGTTCCAGGGGATCTGATGCCCTCTTCTGGCCTTCACAGGAACCAGGCACACACATGATTCACTTAAAGTTGGACTAAATACTCATACGCATAAAAATTAAACTAAAATCTTGAAAAAAAAGAGATTCTTCTAGACCAGCCTGCTTCACAGGCCTATAATCAAGCCACTTGGGAGGTTAAGCCAGGAAAATGACGAGTTCAAGACATGCCTAGACTACAGATTAAGTTCAAGGCCAGCCTGAGTAACTGTCAAAAAATAATAAAGAGGAAGCTGGGTGTGGTGGCGCACGCCTTTAATCCCAGCACTTGGGAGGCAGAGGCA